CGCTGTCAAATCTGTCCCTGGGAAAAGTAACGTTGTGCCCAACTGAAAAAGGAACTACGTTTCATTACCATATTTTCAGTAGTAACGTGTTACACTACTTTTTACCCGAAAAAAGTAGTTACGTTACTTTGTAATGCGTTACACACAACACTGGTCTTTGAGCATTTCACCTGATAGAGCTCCTTATATGGGCAGACAGCCAACCAATGAGATCACAGAGAATGAGTCCATCCAGGACAGAAGAGTTTGTGTTTGTTTGAAGCAGCCGACAGTAACGTTGCTTCCTGTGTTCAGGGACAACAGGTTCAGACTGGGTTTCATCCAGAAATACAAACCGACAGTCGCTTATGAAATATTAAACACTGAAACAAACTGAGCCCATCAGCTGTCTTTGAAATACTCTTCATTCAAACAATTACTATGAACATCAGTCATTAGTCAGGGTGTTACCTACAGTAGACAGCACTCAGGTGTATAGTCAGTGTGTAACCTACAGTAGACCGCACTCAGGTAGTATAGTCAGTGTGTAGACAGCACTCAGATGTGCACTTAGGTGTATAGTCAGCGTGTTACCTACAGTAGACAGCACTCAGGTGTATTAAGTGTCTCATGTATAATTCCTCAGGTGCTGCAGAAACTGGGAAAAGCAGACGAGACCAAGGATGAGCAGTTTGAACAAGTGGTCATCAACTTCAGGAGACAGGAGGTGAGACACGTTCAAGATTACAGAAAGTTTTCAACAGCTGTGATGGCCATGTTCACTGCTAAATTCTAACCCTACAGGAAGTCACAGACAACATTATTTTATTATATTATATTACATTATAATATATTATGTGTGTGTATTATTATCAGTACTGTGTGTGTTCTGTCAGTCTGAAGGCTCTCGGCTGCAGAGGGAGATGAAGTCCTACATGGCTGCCATCAAAGGTGATTTAGAGTCTTCCACATATATAATTTGTCACTTATCATACATCATATGTAATTTGTTACTTATCATCTGTCCTGGCTATTCATACTGCCATAGTATACAATAAAGTTGATAACTGACCTGTTTCCTATAACTCTGTTTCTCTTCTTTTAAGCACAAAACATAATGTGATTTTGTTCCTTCAGGGATGCAGCAGGCCTCCATCAACCTGACACAGTCTCTGCATGAAGTCTATGAACCAGACTGGCATGGAAAAGATGACGTCATGGTTATTGGAAAGGTCAGTCATAAAAACACCCACATGACAGGATGACACCTGAATGCACCGCACATATCCAGGTGTCAGTGTGAGACACGTGTGCAGGTGTTCACTGGCAGCAGACCCGAAACTCTGGTTGTGATTTTTCTTTTATGGATTGTTATGCGTTTCCTGCAGGACTGTGATGCGTTGTGGGAAGACTTCCATAACAAACTGGTGGACTCCACGCTGCTGAACCTGGATGGGTACCTGCAACAGTTTCCAGACCTCAAAGTAACAAACCCTTTGTCTTTTAATGATAGAATATTTGACAGATTTGATGGTTCATCTTCTAAAAACTGAAACTTTGTATTATTTAAGACTCGAGTGGCCAAAAGAAGTCGGAAACTCATCGACTATGACAGCGCTCGTCATCATGTTGAAACTCTGCAGATATCAGGGATGAAGAATGACCGCAAGATGATGAAGGTGAGTCTGTGATTAAATATGATGGAGGTTAGATATTAAGAAGTTGAAGGTCCAGGTGTTGTATGAAGTTCTTTTTATTGATCAGTATTGTTTTTGTTTGCAGGCAGAAGAAGAGTTGAAAAAGGCTCAGAGAGTGTTTGATGAGCTGAACGTTGGTCTACAGGATGAACTGCCGACTCTCTGGGACAGGTGAGTCAGATCACATAAATACCTGTCTGACAACCATTCACATTCCAGGCTCTGCCTCATTGGAGCTGCTCATACCTTCCACCAGTGGTGCAGTTATATGTAAGTGAAAATAGAACCTGATCACAATATGATTTCTCATTGATAATAAACCTGAATCAGCTTCTAGGAAAACTGATGGTATAATTAAAACAAGTTTGTCTTTTTTTTTTATTCTGTCTTAATGTTAGTCATCTTTAGATGTTTATGAGCTGACTGACAGCACTGCATTTGTCTGTTCTATTGACACTTCAGCTGTTGTAAAATGTGAGGAGAGCAATGAGGAAATGTTCAGGAAGCAGATGAGTTCATTAATGTTTAAAAATCTGAAAACAGAATCACAAATAATCACCATCTCTCACTTTTCTCCGTCTGCTCTGCAGCCGGGTTGGCTTCTACATCGGCACCTTTAAGAGTGTGACAAAACTGGAGGCCAAATTTCACCGCGAGATCTCTCTGGTGAGGACATCAACAAACACAGGAAATAATTAAGCTTTTAGTGCTGCTTCAATAATCCAGAGTAACATTCAGACAGACAGGGACTGTGTTCAGTCAGCCCAGGGTTACAGGGTGTACACCCATCCGTGTCAGGGGATGAAAGGTAGCGAGAAAGTCCTCACCTGGAGGAGGTGGGGTAGAAAGATGGCTCTAACAAACAGATAGCTCTACCACCTGAAACCAATGGTTAAGGTTTAAAGTTACTTTACATGTGAAACTTGCATCACATGACTTTCATAATGTAACATTGTTATTTGAACCTAACCCTATAACCCTTTTCACATTTTCACAGTGTAAACCACATGTTAAAAAAGGTGTCTCATACAGATGTGCTAAAGCGTGCCTTGTGCATCTGAAATGTTGATATTTGATGACCTGGGATGAGAACAGGTTTGTTAAGTCTGAACCATTGCTGACATCACCTGTGTGACCAATAGGGTTAGGGTACTTTGTGAGAGGTGATTCTGTGAATGGTAAGGTGTATAAATGATGATTGATAGTTGTTTGAGTTAATTTTATTTATATTAGAAGGGTAAAACTGAAACCTAAAATAAATCTATTCCAACTCTTAGGTATGTCGGCAGCTGTATGCAGTGATGACCCAACTGGCTGAACAGCACTCTGATAAAATGTTTACCATCCAGGGAGCACCAAGGTCAGTCTGAGTTCTCACTTTAATAAAATTTTGAAAAAGAACAATTGGCTATTTATAGGTCCAGTGTGTAGGATTTAGTGCCATCTATAATAATAATAACAATAATACATTCATTTTTATTTATATAGCACCTTTCAAAATTGGTTTTACAAAGACAAGACTATAAAAGTGCATTTTAGGAAGAAACTTTAAAGAAGTGACATCCTGATCTACTCTGGAAAGCTGTTCCACAGTTTGTGGGCTCTGATGGCCAACACTGTCACATTTGTTATTTAACATGGTTTTGGAAACCACCAGGAGAGCAGCATTTGAGGACCTGAGGGCACAGGGTGTTAAAAGTTCAGAGATATAGCTTAGGGCCAGCCCATTATATGCCTCAAAATGATAATTACATGTGTTCTCGTTTTCTAGTACCATTTAAAATCCTAGTGGCTGAATTTTGAACGGACGGAGAAAAGGGAGTTGTAATGATCTACTCCAGAAATAATTAAAGTTGCTGATAAAATCATATCCTGCTACCGACTAGAAAGATGACTAAAACAGTAAACACTTGAAAGAGCATGGATGGGACCAGACATTGCATAGTTTTTGTTTTTTACAAAAACCTCGTTTGTGCAGCAAAGAGATTCGATGTCTTGGTTCAGCTTGGCTGATTGTCTAGCCATGACGTCATTAGGGCCAGCATACAGTGTGGACTGAGGGGTGGAAGTCCATGAGTGCCAGTGCAAGTTCAATGAAATCCTCGATTTTTCCACTGCTTAGTAATGGCAGATCTAAGGTTTGAGTTGCCAAGTACCAACATTTCAGGCCCAGAGCAACTCCTGTCGGTGTAGACTGCAAGCTTGAAAGGGAGTTTGCAGATGACAGGAGTAGCCAACCTCAGCGAGGCAGGGGGTGGTGATACTTGAATGGGACCAGTCGACCTTGCTGTGAGGTGCTAACAAGCTTAGCTATACTGAGTGAAAGGCATCACCGCTTGCTCCTAGGACAAATGACTTTGGGGGTTAAAGCCAATGAGTTGGTCGAGGAGCTGCACCAAGAGCCAGGAACTGGGCACTTCCTGGGGTAAGACCATAGCCCTCTACATGGGTTAGTAGTATTATAATTGTAGAACTGAGGCCCAGGAGGCAGTCTTCCTGACCGTTGGTGGGAGGCTACCAGCATCCGCAGCCCTCCTGCCAGGTGTTTCCAAGGAGGCCAAGTGCCCTTGGAGCAGTGTCTGCTGCTGGAAGAGGTCATGTATGAGACACAACCAGTCTCTCAAGTGGAAACCCACAATTGGAGGGGCTGAGTCAAGTCCATCAAACTGCAGACACGTCTCCTATGTCCAGTCAAAACTGTGTCGTTCAGATCCTTCAGACAGGAGTAGATGTTAAATCATTCCATAAAGTCCTCCATAAAACAACCAGCTAGCTTAGCCAACAGACTAAAAACTAACAAGCTAGCTAGTAGCAGTCTGGGCAGTCAAGCAGGTGAAACTTAAAATGAGACTTAAAACTGGATAAAGAATTTGTGACAGCGCTTCTGTCTGGCAAAAACAATACAATTTCAATTCAATTCAATTTTATTTGTATAGCGCCAATTTATAACAGAAGTTATCTCAGGACACTTTTCAAATAGAGCAGGTCTAGACCGAACT